GGCACTACCGCACTTATTGGCAAGGCAATTATTTTTAGTGTCGCAAGGTGAGGATGAACATGTTACACATAATCAGTAAGGAAAACATGTTATACATCACTAAACATAAAATATGGAATAGATTTCAAATATGTCTATTTTTACCATATTATTGTTATCTGATTATTTGTTTTGTGTTGTCAAATATAGTGTAGTGGAGTTTTACACTTTAACATTACATTAGTAACTGCACAAGCTGTATTCCTGGCACTATAGCTCCCCCTACCATCCCCCCTCCCTTGCGCTCCTCCCGCACGGGTAAAAAAAAGGGTTAGAAACTCCTTCATTTACTTTCCTGACTCCAGCACCGATGTCCCTCGGCGCGTGGTCGACGCTCCGCCCATCCCCCGACTAGCAGACGCTAATGCACATGCGTGGCAAATGCTGCGCGCCCTTTAGAACTACCCATAGAAAAGTATTGAATCAATGCTTTCCTGTGGGGAAAAATCTGATGCTGGATGTCATCATGCAGAGTGTAATGATGTCCAGCGTCAGATACCGGGTCTGCTTCAATCCAGGAAACCCTGTAGTGGCTGTCTGGGAGACAGGCACTGGAGGCAGAATTAGTGCTCTCTGGAACTGCAATGTTGTACATTGCAGCACTAAGTGCAATAGGGACACTGTACCCAGACCAATTCAATGAGCTGAAGTAGTCTGGGTGCCTATAGTGTCCCGTTAATAATCAAGAATAATGGGAGAAGCTAAGTTCCTTTTCATGGTAGACAAATTTACATGTAAAAATATTTTATATAATTTTTATGTGGACTTTTTCTGCAATAATAATACAACTCTACAGACTGCTATAGATAACTGGACATTGCCAAGAGTAATTAGAGCGGAACTATCACTTGTGAGCTTTTTGAACAACTAATCCCAGCAGGTCCATACACACCGCGTGTCCGTGTATGGCAATACTGAAGAAATGTCCGAGATCGTGTCCACTCTTAAAACATTTCTCTGTAGATGCCCAAGCTCACATGAGTGTGCTTGTGGCATCTTGAGCAGGCAAAGTCACCCAGACCGCATAAGTGCGCCGGAGGTAATTGTTTTTTTTTTCTTACCTCAGCTGGATTATTCACCCCAGTAAATCCTTCATTGGTGTACCTCACGCTGTCCCTAACTGACTGCCGCCAACATACTAACACTGAAGGTCCTGGCAATTCAGCTGCCAGGGACCACGCCCACCATTTCCAGAGTATAACTGTGAGGTCTATGGAAGATCCCGCAAGACTGAAGGATCCTCCATGAACAGAGCCTGAATCCCACAGCCGTTATTGGTGAAGGCTGCTGGGATGGAAAAAAGTTGACAGAGTAGCTCTGCCTTTTGTCAGCTTTCGTCAACCTTTACCATTAGACAATGTAGTCCTTACTTTGTGTTATGATATCTTTAGACTGCATTGAAATTTCAATTAAAATGCCAGCACTGTCTTAACCAGTAGATCATAAAGATTATATATAAAAAAGTAACAGATCCACTTGAATCACTGTATCCTGTCTCCGTAATTTTGTTTGTAGTTTTTTTAAATGTAGCAATACGAGATTATGTTTTTGTTATTTTGTGGAAGTTAGGCAGGATGAAATAAATGCCTTTATCCTAAAGGGCTACTCCAATTACCATAGCCACTTGAGTGATTTGTAGTGGTCATGGTGCCTGGAGTCTGTATGTGCAGCATCTCGCTATGAAACACTGCACATACAGAGTTTAAAGAGACACTATAGGCACAGCTCATTGAAGTGGTCTGGGTGCAGTCCTGCAATGTAAAACATTGCAATTTTAGAAAAACGACATTGTTACATTGCAGCACTAAGATAGCCGTTAGTGACAGACACTAGAGGTGCTTCCGGTATTTTACCGGACTTTAGGTTGCCTAACTGACGCTGGATGTTCTCACGCTCTGCATGAGCACATCCAGGGTCAGTTAAATCCCCATGGGAGAGCATTGACTGTATACATATGGGGAGGACCTAATGTTCTTGCAGCACATTAGCTGCGACGTCGAAGGAGCTGGAGTGATCCAGCGCCAAAGGACATCAGCAATGGAATCGGGCAAGTGTTACAAAGTTTTTTTTTAACCCTTGCAGCGCCTGGGTGGGCATGAAGGAGGGGCAGGGGCCAGAGGGAACTATAGTGCTAGAAATACAGATTTGTATTGCCAGCACTATAGTATTCCTTTAATCAACTCCTCTGCTGCCATTAGTCTTTAGTCAGTGATAAACTATTTTCAAGCAGGCTTTATGAAACTACAATGTTTACATTGCAGAGTTAAATCTGCCTCAAGTAGCTGTATTCCCGACAGCCACAAGAGGCACTTCAGCTGCACTGACCAAGTAAACGTTTGTCACATAAGGCGGAAGATCATAGGAAAGCATTGAATAAAATTCTTTCCTATTAGAAAGCTTGGATGCACACCCAGCACTCTTCTCGGGTCTCCAATGCTCCTCTATGAGAAGCATTTGAAGTCGCCCATAACGGAGAAGGTCATGCTCCTTCGCGTTAATGTTGCGGAGGTGGAGAAGTGAGCAGGAATGGCTCTGGAAAAGGTAAATAAAACAGGTTTGCACCAGGCATCATGGGCAAAGTCACTCCAAAGAAAAAGAGCAGTAGAGGTGAGGTTTTTTTTACTTTTCTCCTCTGTAGTGACAGTTCCACTTTAGAAAAGTACACTAGTACACAATTATTTGGCACATGTTTGGTTAACATTTTAATTTATTGGTAATAATATTTATTAGTTTATAAGAGGCTAACCAGAAACTAACTGTTCATATACATATATGGAATGTATTTATTTGCAGAATTATAAACATAATTTGTCATTTCTAACGTTTTTGGTAGTTATATCCCTTCCCTGTTCTCCCACTTCCTTCCCTTTTTTCATCACGAGTTTTCTTTCTTATATTCTCATAGTTTTTCCTGGTAAGTCCATATAAGTTAGTCATACACACAAATATCTTTGTACACAATTTCTGATCACAACTCGTCAACATTCTTAAAAGCATATATAAATCATAATTGTTCAGAATTATTTACACATATATATCATAACCTCACATCTGTGTCCTATATAGGAATGTCTGTCTCACTGATAGACTTAGTGCATCTGAAATAGGTGTCAGTAACATATGTAGGTATGGTATACATGTCTGTAACATGTATCACTGGTGTTGTTTTACATGTATATATGTATGACATGAAGCATGAAAGCAGTATGGAAGTTCATGGCTGGCTGATGGTAATAGCAGTTAAAATCCAACAGCAGGAAGCTGCAGTAGACCAAAGCCTGCTGTTTGTGTTCAAAGGAGTGGAAAGTGATAGCGTTACGAAAATATTCCAGTTTAATTGAAGTCATCTGCAATATTCCAGTCTTTAAAACCATCTAGTAACGTGTGCATAAAAACAATCTCAGTGAAAAAAAATAGGAATTTATAAACTGACACGTACGAGCTCAAGAAAACATATAGTTTAAATGCGGTTTGATGAATGCTTATTTTACTGAAGTTATGCAATGTTAGTCCATGCTGTAGGCTCATTTACGCAGGTCCCTCACATATTCTGTCCACCCTTTTAAGAACACTATGGAATATGTTAGTGCTTCATAAAAAATTTTAATAATGTCAAGCTTAGCTAACTCCAAACTTTAAATATGATTCTAAATGGAACTTTGTGAGAAACCAGTTAAAAGCTACTTGCTGGCTTTTCTTGCTTCATAACAGGTTGTCTATTACTCATTTAGAGCACTGTGGTCTGCCTTATAGTTTTGTATATGATTATTGTTATTATTAGCATTTATATAGTGCCAATTTATTCCGCAGTTTACATCTCACCTTGGTGCTAAGCAGTGTTTTGGAGATGACTCAAGCCAAGTCTAATAAAAACCACTAAAACACTATTAACATGTTTGCATTAAGTATTCTGAAAAATGTAAGAGAAATTCACATTGTGGAAAAAATTGTTAACTTTTTGTTGCGCAGCAAGCTATGTGTCATAACGTTGGTTACTGTAAACCTGAAGATCAGTAGTATGTGACCTGCTATTTACCTGTCCATTTCCAGTTTTCCTCCTACGAGGCCCTCCTCACTGCTGGATCGTGTCCCACTGTGCTTGGCATTCGCTAATTGAGCTCCTTCTTTGACCCAGCTCTGAATGAAACGCCTGTGTCACTGCTCTTTAGAGAAGTGTCGTGTTGGCGTCACAGACAAGCAATGTTATGGGGAAACCCTGTGGTTTGCAGAACATGCACCAGGTCTTTGAAACATGCTGAGATTACAGTAAGGGGTGGGAGGACGTTTCTTTCTACACACAGGACATACCATTTTCTGCTCATGTTCTTGCCAAGTGGTCATGTCCCTCACTGGGCTGGTTCTCTTACATGGCTAAGGAATGTTCTTCTTTGAAAACCAAAACGAAACAGCTGCTAAAACTCTTAGCCGGTAGCTGAGAGGAAGGAGGCAGAAGTTCAAGCAGCTAAATTGTTTCACATGTGAAGAGAACTGTGCCATTAAAAATGAAAGAGGGACAGAGTTCCATTGTATCCCACGACACTATGGTGTTTATTCACTAAAGTATGAATTGCTAGAACTATTCAGAACAATCCCGAAACATTCAGAGGCTACAAATATACATCTAACACTGAATGGAGAATGACAAGTCCAAATTAAAGGGATACTCAAAGCACAAAAACAACTTTAGATTAATAAAGCAGTTTAAGTGTATATATCATGTTCCTAACCACACCTCCACTGCCTGTGACTCACACAACCTACATGAAAAAATGGTTCCATGTTCAAACAGCACATTGGGTTCACTTTAGAAGTTTGAATCTCTTACTCCTACTTTTTAATCAAAAAAGGAGGTTCTTGCAGACTCTTACAGGCTATTAACAGAGCAGGAGATAAGATATTCTAAATTAAACAGATTATGCAATATATGAAGTTTAAACATTAGACCTCTCTTTAAAGTTAATGTGTAAGGTCACATGCAGGGAAGACGCTCCTAGGGCTGCATAAACAAAGTGATTTAACTTCTAAATGGCAGAGAATTGAGCAGTTGCCCTGCAGGTGCATGAGCTATAAACTAAACTAACCAAATAAGCTGAAGTTGTTTTGGTGCTTATAACAGGCCTCCCAACTGACAGTAAAGATTTCCTGGTCCTGTCCCACCTTAGTTCACTGGTGACCCGCTTTTGGGGAGACCAGGGAACTATCCCCAACAAGCACAGTGCAAGCGCATCATTAGAATTAAACAGTCAACCCTGCATGTCCTGCTCTCAGTGAGCTGGCCAGTGGGAATGACAGGCACACTGCCGCTGGGGAGGAAGGACGACACCTTCGGCTCCCTGGAACTCACACTGCCGCTGGGGAGGAAGGACGACACCTTCGGCTCCCTGGAACTCACACTGCAGCTGGGGAGGAAGGACGACACCTTCGGCTCCCTGGGGCGCACACTGCCGCTGGGGAGAGAGACCGGTTGTCCCTTCTCCCTGGAACTCACACTGTCACTGGGGAGGGAGGTCGATGCTCTCCGCTCCCTGACACTCACGCTGGGGTTGGGGATCTGGGCCGACTGCCCAGCATCCCTGTAGGGCCGGTAGAGAGACCTCGGTCCCATCTCTACCTGCTGGCTGGGGCTCCTCCCAGTAAACCTCTACGATATCCTTCCAACTGAAGGGCTCTAGACCTGGTTCTGCTACCTAGTTCTCTAGCTCTGCTTGCAGAGTAGACTGGGGCTGAATGGCACAGAGCAGGTGTTGGTAGGCCTGCTCCAGTTCCAATTCCATGGTTGCCAGGTGCATCATGTCTGGTTTCACCGCACAGTCGACAGGCCAATCGTGCATGCCCATCCTGTAGTCAAGGATGTCCCAAAATCGGAAATCCTCTGTGCTGCTGAAATCAGGCTCCTCCATGGCATCCAGTAGTAGACCAGGACCATCATATTCGTCCCCCTCAGGCCTGTCGAGCTCCTCCATCTCGGGGGTATGCTGCACTGTGTACCACCAGAGGGCCTGGTAGGCGTCCTCCAGTCAAATCTCCTTCCATACCAGTCTCTTGAGCTCTGTTACCCACTCATCCAGGGGCTGCTCTCCTAGGAAAGACATTCATAGAGCCACTTGCCTCTCTTGCCGCTGCTCTTCACTGGGGAGCCTCACTGACGCTGCACATCCTCCAGGGCTTTGTCCCAAAGTTCCTTTCTGGCCGCCTCCCGGTAGTCCATCATGGCCTCCTCTGATATAGGCCCATCCTGCAGGGACAGGAGCTCCTGCAATCTCCAGTGGAACTCTTCCTCCATATTGCTGTAGATAGGGATGCTGCACGGTAGCTAGCTCCACACGTTACCAGTGTCTCAGAGCTGCTTCTCCTCGCACTAGGATGCCATCCCACCGCTTGCCACCAATGTAACAGATCACCTGGCACCCCGACTGGGTACCTCTATTGAAGGATGCTCCTAGCGTTTCGTGACGGCTCCGAGCACTCAAGCCGACACCATAACCACCATAGACTCCTTCCGAGAGCAAGATAGGAACAAGCTCTTAAAAGATCTTACAAGTGATAATCCAAGGGAGCATGCAGAGCATAGCAATCCCTTGTAATGATATAGTAATTCCCCCAATAAGAGACAGGACTCTAAATTGAGAGTGAAGAAGAACTGTCTAAAACTTTATTTTCCATGGGATTAGCCCAAATGGTCATTACATTAATATTGCTGTGAAAACTCAATAAAATTACAAACAGTCAAATCATAGCAGGCACCATACAGTGACTTATTACAACACAATAGCATATTTTGAAAGAAGTGGGGGAGATAATAATTAACAGAAAATATCTCACATGCCTGCAGAATTAGCAATATGCAAATCTACCCAAATATGCAAATGAACCAGTCTTGCTATTCAGGTAGTGCATATTGCTGTTGCTACCAACAGAGGGCACTAGACAAGCTCCATAGCCAAATCCACCTAGTTGGTAGCAAACCTCAGCAGAACAGGAAAGCAGGCAATACATCCCAGGGGCCATAGTCATATGGCAGGAGGCTGGTAATCAGTCTTCTCCAATGCCCAGTGGCGAGGCTGGTTCCGCCACAGGCGGTCCATCCAGGGCAGCACTTTTTGGGGGACGGCAAGACCCCTGCTGACTCCCATACTTCCTCCCACCCTCTGAGTGAGACTGGGCAGCGAACCTGCTCTGCTTGCCAGGTCTCCTCCGTGCAGTGCAGAGAGAGAGGGGAAGAGGCGGGGCAGGAGGCATGGGAAGTGAGGTCACTCTCTAGGCATCCTGTCCAACAAGTGAGGAGGAAGAGCAGCCTGGCAGAAAAAAACAGGTAGGCTCTTCCCTGCACAGCCCCTTCCTCACTGCAACCTCACAGATCCCCTCTCCCCCCCCTGCAGATCCCTCTCCCCCTGCCTCCTGCACAGATCCTCTCCCCTCTCTCCCTACACAGATCCCTCTCCTCCTGCCTCCCCTGACGGTCCCCTCCCTCCCCTGCACAGATCCCCTCTCCCCCTGCCTCCCCTGCACAGACCCATCTGCCCCTGCCTCCCTGAGAGTCCCCCTGCACATATCCCCTCTCCTCCTGCCTCTATGACAGTCCCCCTCCCTGCACAGATCCCCTCTCCTCCTGCCTCCCTGACAGTACCCCTCCCTCCCTGACAGTCCCCCTGCCTCTCCTGCACAGATCCTCTCTCTTCCTCCCTCCCCTGCACAGATCCCCTCTCCCCCTCCCCTGCACAGATCCCCTCTCCCCCTGCCTCCCTGATTGGGTGTATATCTTAAAAGGGCTTGAAAAGTTTTTTTTGTTGGCTAGAGGCGTTGAGTAGCAGCCACGGACGTTTGCAATTGCACAGGACATGACGTGGGTCAAGATAGGGGCGGCAAACTACACCACTGCTTTAGGCAGACCTGCCACTTAGTTTGACTGCCCCTATGGGCACAGTTAGTAATAGAATAATGTCATTGGTCCATCCCCTTTAACCCCCTCCCTCCAGCATCCCAATTCTTAGACTGCTGGTGTTGGGAGGTATGCTTATAATTGCCCTTTAAATTGAATGTACTCAATTGTACCAGAAGTAGCCGCCCAGAACTCTTGACTTTATTTATGGGATCTACATGTCTTAATTTTACCCAGTCTAATGTAAACAATGATATGTTGGATTGCTTAATTGCTAAGGCTTAAATCTGCAAGCTAACTGTTCTTTTTTGTTTTTTGTCTTGCTAAAGGATCACTATAGGGTCAGGAACGCAAATGTATTCCTGACCCTATAGTGTTAACACCACCATCTAGCCCTCATGCCTCGATAAATATAGTAAAAATCTACTATGTCTCCTGACATGTGGTAGCCTGATCCAATCTCAGTGCTTCCCCATAGGATTGGCTGAGACTGACAAAGAGGAAGATCAGGGGCAGAGCCAGCATGATTCAAACACAGCCCTGGCCAATCAGCATCTCCTCATAGAGATGAATTGAATCAATGAATCTCTATGAGGAAAGTTCAGTGTCTTCATGCAGAGGGAGGAGATACTGAATCACAGGATGCTGTGCACAGTGCTGCCCTGTGCTTTGCTGACAGCAGATCTGAGTGGATGGGGACATATTATGCCTCCATCAACTCCAAAGTCCCTCTGGTTCACTCTGAGTGACTGCAACTGGAGGTGCTCCTAGCTTTCAATGTAAACACTGTATTTTCTCAGAGAGAAAGGCTATTTCAGGCACAGAACTCCCCGCAGAACTTCCACTGCCACTGCCAGTTGTAGAGGAAGGACATCTCTTGTCTATCAGTTTCTATCTCCTCTATACCTACCAACCTGCCTTAAACCCCAGATGCCTTAACATGTCTACCTATGCAGGGATGGGGCTACCTCAGGGCTCAACAAATCCCAGGTCGCCATGGCGATTAGGATTTTAGACCTGGCATCTGGGATTTGTTAGCCAACTCAGTCCCTGAGGTGGTCGGCTGCCTAGCAATATGGAGAGCATTTACGGGGAGAGCGTGGGGTGTGTGCACGGGCGAGAGGCTCCTGGAGGATTGAGTCAGACTGGCATGCGTGTGAGGGAGCTGTAACCTCCCTCCCTGCTCTGGTCCCTCGCATCCTCCAGTGATGCCGGAATATGACATCATTCCGGCCCCGGCAACACTAAACAGCGCTCTATGGAGTAGAGCAAGGAGATGACTGAAGCCCCACTGGACCCCAGGGAAATGCGAAGCCCTCCAGCTCCAGGTAGGGAGGCTGGGTGGTCACCTTAATGTGTGTTCTTATTGCAGTGACAGTAAATGTGAGTGAGTGTGTGTGTCAGTGAGTGAGTGAGTGTGTGTGTGTGTCAGGAGTGAGTGTGAGTATGTGTTTGTCAGTGAGTGTGTGTCAGTGAGTGAGTGTGTGTGTGTGTCAGTGAGCGAGTGTGTGTGTGTTTAGGTGACCGGTCCCCCTCCAATCACATGGTTAAGGGGTTTTTACTCACCCTTTTCCCCCCACGCTGTGCTGGTCTCACCTCCATGCCTCCAGCCTCCATGACTGCAATCATCAATCTTAATGATCTCAGCCAATCCAATGCTTTCCCATAGGAAAGCATTGGGAGGCTATTGCACGTGTGTGGCAAAACGTCATGCTGCGCCAATTAGCATCTCCTCATAGAGATGAATTGAATGAATGCATCTCTATGGAGAACACTGACTGACTTTCACTAGAAGTGTTACTAGGCAACAATGTAAATACTGTCCTTTTCTCTGAAAAGACAGGGTTCACATTGAAAAGTGTGGAGGGACAGTTTATAGACACGAGAACAACTACATTAAGCTGTAGTGGTTCTGGTGACTATAATGTCCCTTTGAAGGACCACTCTAGGCACCCAGACCACTTCAGCTTAATGAAGTGGTCTGGGTGCCAGGTCCCTCTAGGATTAACCCTTTTTTGTATAAACATAGCAGTTTCAGAGAAACTGCTATGTTTATAAATGGGTTAATCCAGCCTCTAAAGCCTCTAGTGGCTGTCTCATTGACAGCTGCTAGAGGCGTTTGCGTGCTTCTCACTGGTAAAATCACAGTGAGAAGAAGCCAGCGTCCATAGGAAAGCATTGTGAATGTTTTCCTATGAGACTGGCTGAATGCGCGCGCAGCTCCTGCCTCGCATGCGCATTCAGTCGAAGGGGAGGAGAGGAGGAGGAGAGCTCCCCACCCGGCGCTGTAAAAAAAGTTACGTTTTAACCCTTTCCTCGCCATCCAGCCCGGCGGGAGGGGGTCCCTGAGGGTGGGGGCACCCTCAGGGCACTATAGTGCCAGGAAAACGAGTATGTTTTCCTGGCACTATAGTGGTCCTTTAAGAATTCTATTTTTGACATTGTAAAACCTGGCTCCTAACTTTTTTTGCTGGCTCCTAGATTTGAAGCAAACTTGTCAAGCCGCAGTCTACCTGATCACCTTAGCCTTGTACTTTCATGCCTCTTATGCTCAAATACATTTTATTAATCTCTCTCAGCATGTTTAGCTTGATCATAATAACATAAAATTGTGATGATCTCTTTTCTCATGCCATACTATCTCTTGTTGTACACATGCTTGCTCATATGTCAGTTCACTTATTATACATAATCTTGAAGCGCAACATACTACTCTACTGATTCAATACTTTAAAAATGTGTGCAGAATCTTTTGAACGACTTGCAGTGCTCTGTCATGTGCCTTAAAATGTCATGTATTCTAAAACGCTTGCTACCGCTGTTGGGGCATTGCAGGCATGTTATTTATCTTTATACATGACAAAAATAAAGAATTTTAAGAAAGAGAAATAATAATTCTTAATCAGTGGGAATATTAAATAGGCTGTTATACATTCTCCAATTTTATGAAAACACTATAAACAAACCAACTAAAATAGTGTAGCGCTTGAAGTAATACACTATTTAAGTTGGTAAGTAAAAACAAATCTGAAAAGATTTGCAACTTTCCCACAATCATAGCAAGCAATACTATTTCTAAATTCCATATGGCAATCAGATATCTCTTTGGTTTAGCATGCTGTTGTTAGCCCATAGTAAAGCAACACTCCAGTTCTCTAAGGGGTGATGTGTTCTTTTTGCTTTTATAAAAGTACTGATTACAACACAAAATCACCTCGGTTGCACTCCCCTAACTGCTTAGTTATTTTGAACGGATGTTCAAATCGGTAGTAAGTGCTTCTCTATGAGAAGCATTCTATGGACAGAGTGCCATGACTGCCTCACATGCACCATAACTCCCCAATTCTTCTCTGTAAAAACCAATAAATTGACCCGCAGGTCATCAGGACCAGAGTGAGGAGTGAGAAGTAGTGAGAAGATGGATAAGAGAGTAATTAATTCCTTTTTGTAATTAAACAGTAGGGGGGATTCCACTACCCCAATAACAGAACACTCAAACTTTAAATTAATATATCTATTTTTAAAGTTGACGTGTTCCTTTAATTATTATGTTCTGTAATCAGGACCGATGCAACATAAGATGGCAAAGGTGGCCGTCTAGAGTACACCGGCCTGGGAGTGCAATCTCTTGGTGACCTGCAAGAGTGGACAGCACAGCATTCCTCCTCCTGCCAGTCACTTCATGTAACATGGTCGAGTGGACCCTGGTGGATGATCTTCTGTATCCTCTGCCCAGTGTGACAGGGAGTGCTCACTGAGCACAACGAACAGCTTCCTGTCGGACTGGAAGATCTTCTACCGCAGTTCGCGACGCCATGTTTCATGGAGGTAAGCACTGCAGGAGGGAAAGGGGAAGACATCTCAAAAGGACAGAGGGGGTAGAGTAAGAAACACACAAATAAGAATGGGGGAAGTGGAAGAGTTAAACAAAAAGGGCTGGGGATAGAGACACACAGAGGGGCTTGGGGAGAGGAAGAAGAGACACATAGGGGGCTGGTGGAAAGAAAAGGGGCTTGGGGAGAAAGAGACACAGGGTGTAGCGGAGATGCAATATTCCCCAGGTTATCTCCGCTTATAATCCAAGTGAGGCTCAGGAACAAGTAAATAGTAAATCCACAGGCAAGGTTTCCAGCAGGTAAAATAACAGCAATATCCCAACAGCAATCCCAATAACTGGACGGCACACAGTTTCAGGAGCAGAACTGAAATCTTTAATCCACACTGTCCTTTTAAAGAATGCTCCCATGCAAGGGGGGGATTTACAATCATTAGTACAGTAGCCAATCCTGTCCTGGTAACCTCCCACACATCTCCTCCCCTCAGCCTGCATCATAATCCCCTTATCCAGTCTTGCAATTCCCCCCGTTTCTGGATGTACCTCTAAACGTAGGGGTACCCCTTTAAATCCTACACCCCTGGATAGCCCTGATCTGGGTGAACAACATATCCAAAAATCACCCAGATCAGACCAGGGGTTCGGGAAATTTATGGAGGGAATAAAATGACCGACCGCACTGACTGAGATAGCCGAATGCGGTTCCATGCGAATGGGCCCTGCGGTCGGTCCTGGAATAAGGGAACAAACTGCACGAAAGCCTCTAGCTATAGAGTCTAGGGAGGGTTCGCCTGAATCCCCTCATTCGGTTCTTTCTATCTACCGAACGAGGGGCCGTTCGGTAGTTAGGAACCGAACGGACCGGGCTTGTGGAGGTTTCAGCGGTGTTCGCCTAGTCGAGTGTCTGATTTGAGTTCCAGACACTCAACGGCAAACCACCGCTGTTCGGGAGTTTTAACCCCCGAGAACAAAGGACGGCTACTTAACTTGGCAATTACCCGTTCGCAACAATGTTGCAACGGGTAATTGAGGACACACTTCACACAGGGGAGGTCTGATTGTTCGGTAGTTTTATTCCCTTAGTTTATTCGAATGATTCTACCGAACAGTCAGAGGAATACAATTCTTTTAAACACATATAAAACCAGCAGTTTACACGAATGCAGTTATTCACAAGACATTTGCAGGACAGCCCAGTGCCATCCGCTACACAGGGGGTCTGGTAAAGGGGAAGTGGAGGACAGAGGGGGGAGAGTAAGAAACACAAATAAGGATGGGGGAAGCGGAAGAGTTACACAAAAAGGGCTGGGGAAAGAGACACACAGAGGTGGTGGGGGTCAAAGAGACACATAGAGGGGATGGGGAGAAAAAGACACACAGAGGATCTGGAGATCAGAAAAAAAGAAAAACAGGATGGGGCAGAGACAAGTTGCTGGAGGGAAGAAACACACAGAGAGGCTGGCGAAGAGAAACACAAAATAGGCTTGTATGCGAAAGAGACACACAAAGAGGCTAAGGAAAGAAACATACAGAGGGAAAAGGGGGATAAGATATGCTAAAGGGGGGTGTAATACACAAAAAGGGGATAGTGTAAATTAAAGGGGGTAAGATAATCAAAAGAGGGGATAAGAAACACAAAAGAGGGGTTAGAAGACACACAGATTAAGATGCATTTTTGAGGGGAGAGCAAAATGCATCTTCCTCTGTGTAGCCAAAATTCCTGCACTGACCCTATCTGTAATATTCTAGGTTTTTTTTAAAATAATTTTTTACAGCATTTTGCCAGGGAGTGGTGCAAGGATGCTCCTGACATAAGATCTATTAAAGGAAAAATTTCAGTCACCATAATAACTTAATCTAAATGAAGTTATTATGGTGCCAGGAGGCCCCTGGGCACACTCATCTCCTTAAGGGGTTAAACTGTTCCCACATGGTTTAACTCCAAAGGTTGCCTCCATTGCTGATCTCCATGTCCCCCAGGCGGCATCTGGCAGGAAGCGCAGAGTACCACTGGGCTGGCGTGCCGCTGATTGGCTAGAATGGTCAGCTGATGCTCTGAGGTACCTTTTTTTTTTCAATTTATGTTTTATTGAGAGTTTTGTAAATTGACATCATTAACTGTGATATGAGGGGTATAAGTATTTATACATCAAATAGCATTGAGACATTACAACTAGCTTAGAGGTATGTATATGCCCCTTATGAGCTCTGTTTGCCAGAGCAGTCCAGTATCTGTCTTATTACCGTTCTCCTCTGCGTGTCGGCAACCTTTGCCGGCTATGTACTCCGCTTTAGTTAGAGAGTTTTTGCTCGCCTCCTCTGTGTGCAGGGGTCAGTCTCTTTATTAGTGTGCCAGGTGTCTTGTTTGTGTTTATTATAATTTGAGTTCTCTAGTTCTACCGGCATGTGTTTTAGTGGTGGAGTTTCTCGCTGTTGCAGTGTCGCCAGACCGGTAAGTTGCAGGAAGCTTTTGGGGTTGTCTCTGGAGGTAAGCATGTGGTTTTCACCGTTGATGTCTGTGGTGAGGTATCCCTCCATGCCCCAGCAGTACCTTATGTTTGCATCTCTCAGTTGCTTGGATATAGGTGCTAGTTTCCTTTTCTCTGATACAGCTGCAAACGGTGTGTCTGGATACACTGCCACTCTGTGTCCTT